TGGATGCTGAGATAAACAAATATGTACTGCATTTGTTTCCCCAATCTTTTCATTCCTAACTACTTCTTCATTTTTTAAAATTATATTTCCCAACTTACAAATGTACAAAACACAGACCAAACACTGGCCCAATGGCCTCTAGTTGCCAATTCATTTCTGGGCTCAATTCAAAGTTCTTTGTTTTGACTTATAAAGCCTTATGCGGCTCAGAACCCCAATATCTCAAGGGCAGAACCCCAATATCTCAAGGGCTACCTCTCCCCACACAAACTGACCCTGGAGCCTGCCGTTGTCATCTGAGGCCCTTCTCCATGTTCCCTCCTCTGGAGGAGGTTCAGAGGTTGGCAACACAAGAAAGGGCCTTTATAGTGGTGGCTCCCTGCTTATGGGATGCTCTTTCCCCAGGGAGGCTTGCCTGCCACCATCTTTATCCATTTTTAGGTACCAGGCAAAAACTTTTTCATCTGAGCCCCTTTTCTGCATGCCTCTTCAGAGGTCAGCGACACAAGATTGTGGCCCATTTCAGTGTCCCACCCTCGCCCTGCTTGTGGAATGGCCTCTCTGGGGAAACGTGGTTAGACATTGTCACTGTCAGTTTAAGCACCAGGCTAAGGCATTTTTATTTACCCATCCCTTTATTACTTAAGCCTACCTCTACAAGGGTAGAATAAGCTCAGTTTCTATACTTAAAGCAAACCACTCAAACCATATTAAAACACCTTCTTATTTGGGACTAGAACCTCTTCTTCACCTTTGTCTTTCGGCAGGTAACACTTCACCTCATCCTTGTAAATAGCCTTAAAATACTCGTTTTTGTGTGTGCCTGTTAGTTACGGTACTAAGGAAGATGCGTAAATGATTCACCACTGTATATGGGATAAGAACTACTTATTCCTGTGGAGAAGCCATCATTGATAAAGGATGTAAGCAAGGAGCAAAGCACGCTTTGTGTTCGTTTGGGTTTCTGTTTTATTAGGATTCAAGCTCAGTTTATTGGCCTTCGTCCAGCCTACCACTGTGCCCGGGCTCCAGTCCAGTTCCTGCACAGCTACAACTGGTTCAGATGTTATGGAGAAACAGAATCGGGCGTCACCAGCATATTGATGACATCATGTTCCAAATCCCCAAATGACTGCCCCCAGCAAATTCATATGAGGTTAAATAGCATTGGCAGCAGGATCATCCCTGCGGAACTCCACAGCATAACTGAAGAGAGATCCCTCAAGGCTACTCTCTATGGAATGGATGTTCCTGATACCTATCTTACAGAGCTGGTCCAGGTGGATTCCATGGTTGATGGCATCAAAAGGCACAGTGAGATCTAGGAGGAAAAGCACACTCCTCAATACAGTGGTACCTCGGGTTAAGTACTTAATTTGTTCCGGAGGTATGTTCTTAACCTGAAACTGTTCTTAACCTGAAGCACCACTTTAGCTAATGGGGCCTCCTGCTGCCACCGTGCCACTGGAGCACGATTTCTGTTCTCATCCTGAAGCAAAGTTCTTAACCTGAAGCACTATTTCTGGGTTAGCGGAGTCTGTAACCTGAAGCGTATGTAACCTGAAGCGTATGTAACCTGAGGTACCACTGTAAAGGCAATCCCACAGGGCCACCAAGGCTGATTTGATCCTGCAATTTCCCTGACACCACCCTCTCAGTCACTTTCCTTGAAACTAGGATATTTACAGCTGTCACAAACTATTTAACTCAGGGTGGGTTCCTTTAGCAATGTCCATGCCACAGTTATCATTACTGGTCATTGTCCTGCTGCTGCTGCTGCTGGTCCAAACAAGAGCATGATAGGAGATATTGGGGGCAGGATCTTAAGTCTCCATGTTCCACTAATAATGTCCAAACAACAACCTTCAACTACACCAGGCCAGGAACTGGCAAAGTAAATGGCATCCCATGGACCTTCTAGAAATAATGGAATGAAAAGGTAGGAAAATTGTGTTTCTCTTCCCTTTCCTCCCATTTCCTGCTTTGAAAATAGGTTGGCGGTTAGAAGGTGGTGGTGGCTCCAACACAGAATCCCCCCACCCTCATCTCTCTAAAGCACTCTTGTTTTTGATAAGATGTCAGTTTAACCAGTGATAACAAATCCCAAACCTTATTCGCCTAGCCTGGTTTTACTTACTTTCTAAAATCTTGCTCATTTGATTCCAGCTGCAAACAGTCAATACATAATTGGCACATAGATAGTTGGGAGGTTTATAATAAGTTTAACAAACTTTAACAGGCAAAGTTTTGGTACTGATGTTCATTTGATTTTAGACGTGTCCTTTATTATACCTGTAGCCATTTCTCAAAGTTTCTTGATTGTTTTACATAACCACTGGGTGTGAATAAAATCCCCCCTTGTTTTCAGACTTAGGACTCTACACTAAAAGGGTTTGCCTTGTTGATTTATCTTGCCCCTTTATTATACCAACAAAGTGCTATAGAGAGAGTCCTGCCAATGAACTCTAACAGCATTAGAATTACCAACACTCGCCTTTGTGAGCTCCCAATCACACGGGGCACTGGAGCTAGTGACACGTTGGTGCTTGTTAACTCGAAATCTTCTTTGTTTTACTTTTTTTTTTGGTGATACATTTTCTAGAAAACTCCCATAGGAGCAATGAGTCAGTTGCTTCCGTATTGCATTTTAGGAGACTCACATTATTAGCGTTCCAGTCTATATATTATGAAATTAAGTAGATACCCTGGAGGTTAATTTCTTATTGTAAATGTAATGAAAGGAAACACTTCCCTGCCCTTGATATAAAATCTATAGCTCTTAAATTCTACAAGTCTTCATGATTTCTTGAGCAGGAGGAGTATTCTTGGAGGGTATACATTTCTACAGTGTCCAGAATCAGTAGAATTCTTTTTATTTTAAAAAAGGAGCAATTACAAGCGGAGGTGCCAGCTTCTCAAAAACATTGTGGAGGCCTGACACGACATCCTGGTGTCACAGGCAGGGCATCACATGACTTTATGTGGAGTCACGGGGCAGAGTTGAACACAGTGGCAGCACGGCCCCAGCGGCCAGTGGACCCCATCCTCCTCTCCCCCTGCCACACATTGGAAAGTTGGGGGGAACCACCTCCAGCCAGTGGCAACAACAGGACCCACTGAGCCACACTCTGCATTTGTCCTCTGAACAATGGAGGTCCTGACCCCCTAAGAAAACACTGGGGGGAGGCCAAAGTGCCTCAGCCCCTAGGAGTTGGCACCTATGCTTACAAGTCAGAGTTAACCAGAACTGTACTCCTTGGCCTCTTGAAATTCTCTATTTGTGAGCAGAGAAACTAGGGAACCATTTCACAAAATTTATCTGGGCTGAGGAGAAATTCTCTAATGGTTTCACAGGGATGTGATTCACCATGAGCAGGGTCAGGAGCACAGCTTTTTTCTTTTCCCTCTTAAGGGTTTTTTGTTTTGTTTTGGTGCGCTGCTGCTGCCTGACAACCTGTTGCCAGCCTGGCCACCATTTTGCCTCCTCCACTGTGCCCCGGATCTCTCATTCTGCATGGGGGAAAGGGCGGCAGCCAAAATAAATGGTGGATAATATGATAATTGGAGAAAACTCTGCAAAGCAGCCTCTTTTAACAGGATGGGGAGAATGTGTGTGGGGGAATCCACCTCAGGAATTTTCTCAACAAATTTTCTGAGAAATTTCAGCTCAGCTCTACAATTACCCAATGACATTCACTCAGATCCTCCTCCTACTGACCATGGGGTGCTTTTAAGTAGTTGGACATATATCTTGTTACAGGCCACCCCAATCTCTGCCGAGTGGTAGCAAGGGTCCAGGGGTCATGACACTTAACCATGTCCTTTGGACTGAGGCACAGCGGAAACAAGTGCCTTTGAGGAATATGGTTTATTTTACACATATTTTCAACCTGGGTTTTGATGGAGGGAATGCAGAATGTTACACCCCAAGAGTGTTTCTTGTTGCTCCTCTCATAGCTTCATCAAGCAGCAGCCACTCACGCTTCCCCCAATCTTTTGGTGCAGCCTCTCCTAGCCAGCTGACCGTTCCTTTTATCCTTCCCCCAAACCCTCGCTCAAAAACCTCAGTTTGAAAGGACACAGTTATTTTTGTGGCGGCATCGCACCCCCTCTTACCCTGGCAACCTCCCCCTCCCAACTGTGCTCTTGTCTTTTGCACACGCACGCATGCACAGCTGAGGGAGGAACCTTCTTGTCTGACGCCAAATGTCTCACCTTTTGTCAGGGTAATGACTCTGCCATCACCTGCTTTTGTTCCTTGGCGCCACCTCTCCAAGACAAGCTCTTGAGGAAGCTGGCTTGACTTACTTTTCTTCTTCTTTAAGGCTTTGCTAAATCCCTTGATCAAACCCTACACTTACCAATTTGAGAAACTACGAGAAGAACCAATCACCCAGGAATTTTCAGAGGATCGTTTCCCACCCTCAGACCCATAGCACTATGGACACCCAGTCTGGATGTAGCCCCAAAGTGTCTGGGTTTGCTCACTTGGGAGATGCACAGCTTCCATCTGTTGCATGCTGACTGACACCAGGTCTCCAGGATTCAAAATGGGGGACATTTCCAGCTGTATCTGGACATGCTGGTGATTAATCTGGAGAGCTTTATATATAAAGCAGGTCCCATGCAACCCTTCCCCCTCCTTTTTAAGGAGCCATGGTTGCATGTCACCTTAACTCCTCTTCAATCAAACATTTTTCTAGGGTAGTTGCATTAGAAATATGCTGAAGGGTCCCTGTAGGTGTGGCCCCTTCTACAGAAGGTACCCACTGGTGTGCTCACACAGCTCTGATCCTCCTCTTCTCCCTCATGTTAAGTGGCAACATCTCCACTGATGGGGAGGCCAGGTGAATGGCACAGTCCATCCCTACCAGTCACTACTGGCATTGCAAAATCAGCACTCTGAAACTCTACATAGTGTGGTGAGATTTTGGGGGCTGTAGTCTAGGATGGGATGTGTACCTTGAGAAAGGAGTGGTATACAACCTGCGAAGGTGGGCGTGGGTGGGAGAGCTTTCAGCATCAAATTTTAACATTTGACATTGTGTTTTGTATCGTTATCATCCCTGACATTTGCCGCTTTGTGAAGAGATTCTCCTGAAAAGTAGGACAAGAAACGACAACTATTAAATGAATTATACAATAAAATATAGCCAGCGAGAAAATATACTTTAATGCATCTATCCATTTTCAGTAAACAATTTCCTCTCCCGGTGTAAAGTTTTCTGTTTGCTTCAACTAACTTTCAGCTCTAAGGGCGGGGGGGGGGACGGGACTTCGTTTATATAAAAGGATAGAATCCATTTAAAACTCACTATTTGATATGAGAATCCTTTAGCTGCTGTTGTTCCTAGTAGCACCTCAGATGACTTCAATAGAGCAAGTTGAGAAAACAAAACAAGACTTTTCTCTATTTTCAGGGTCTTTACTATGTGTCTCTGACAGCATTTTATATCTACTCGGTTTCAACAATCCTTCTGTAATAGGCAGTTTCCTTCTTCTGCCATAACAAGTGGCGGGGGGCGGGGGGAGAAGCATTTCTATACAGGGAAGGTTAGGGGAAAATGTAACCGTGAAGCCAATAAGACCACAATTCTCCATACTTATCCCAATGATAATCACAGCTGCTACTCTAGAGCAAGTGGTGCGAAAGTTACAATGTTAGGCCATGACCTGCCATTTTGGGATTAGCCTTGGAAGAGTTCATTTGACTTTAGTGGGGTTCAGATGGGAATATTTGGAAGCAAGCCAGGAGAGCTTTACTGTCTAAATATGTCAGTGAGGCTCATAGGTATAAGTGGCCCAGACCTAAGGCTTAGTGACTCAGTAAGCAAATGGTTGATTAAAATAGGTCTTCTAATTGCCTCAGAAACATGTTACAAAAACGTTGCAGAGATACGATGACAGTTTCATGCATCCTGACATGCTGATGCCAGAAATTTGGATCAAGGGACCAAATTATTGAAATCACTTTTGGCAAGCATATGCTCAGTCATTTGGCAAGTATCGTGTGCTTACACTACTGGCGGTCCAAAAAAAAGCAAGAGGAAGTAAAAGAGGGGCATCAAAATGGAGGCAACCAGAAAGTGAAATCTCAGTATATGTTATGAAACAGTTTATTGAAGAAATACTCTAGAGACAACTGAAGCACAATTGGTTTTGAGTTTTATTACTCTCCTTTTCAGATGATTAGTATTATTATTTTTTGTAGAACTGTAGTTGATTTCTGAATAGAAGTGACAATACCCAAAATACACTGAATATCAGGCCCCAATCTGCACTACACTCAAAGCTGCCTCATACTGTTTTATCATGGTCCCCCCCCCCCAAATCCTGGGAACCGCAGTATCTTAAAGGGGTTGAGACTTGTTAGGAGACCTCTGTTCCCTTCACATAACTACAATTCCCAGAGTCCTCTAGGAAGATGGATTAATTGTTAAACTACTCAAGAGAATTGCTGCTTTTATCAATCCATAATCAGTACTGCTGTAAGGGAGTACTTTTCATGGCATGTGAATGTTTGTGAAATTGCCCTAACCCTTTTGATTCAAATCTACATGGCACTACTGAATATCTCTGTGCAAGATAATGAGTATCAAGATTATGGTAAAGGTAAAGGGACCCCTGACCATTAGGTCCAGTCGTGACCAACTCTGGGGTTGCGGCGCTCATCTCGCTTTACTGGCTGAGGGAGCCAGGGTACAGCTTCCAGGTCATGTGGTCAGCATGACTAAGCTGCTTATGGCGAACCAGAGCAGCGCATGGAAAAGCCGTTTACCTTCCCGCTGGAGTAGTACCTATTTATCTACTTGCACTTTTGACGTGCTTTGGAACTGCTAGGTTGGCAGGAGCAGGGACTGAGCAACGGGAGCTCACCCTGTCGCGGGGATTCGAACCGCCAACCTTCTGATTGGCAAGTCCTAAGATTATTGTATAAAACATAAATTTAAATGGTTGAACCCCATGGATCCACAGGCCCTTCTTCTTTCTCATTGCAAAGGCTTGTCTGTTTTTTTCAGTGCTTGTGTGTGCAAATAAATGAATCGGGAATCCTGCGGAAGTGAGAGGTTGAAATAAGCATCAAACACACACAAGGCTCTGGTTCCTGGAGAAGCATTTCATTTAAATTTGGAGGCATTAGCCTGGTAAAGCTGGGACAGTTTTGTATGAACCAACTTTGTGATTCTACAAAACAATTGATAATCTTGTTTAATTTCATTGGCTGTGTAGGCAAACAAACCAAAATATGAATGAGATTGGTTACTGAACAGAATGGCTTTAAGTGACATTTGAAACATAGTGCCACTTTATTACACAACTAAACCAAGGTATTAACAAAAAAGCAAGTGAGTCACAGAGTTCTAATGATTAGCTGTGCTTTCTGTTTAGTCAGTGTCCAGGCCCTGTAACTTTGTTTACATATATGATGGAAAAGGTTGCCCCAAATCAAATTGGGATTAGATGACGACTGATGAGCTCTGGAACTAGAAAATTAGAGCAAAAATTGGAAATCATTGAACAATAAAATGGCAAGCAGCTCTCTGTGCTTTCCACCATTTTCACTGTGACTTTTGCTAATCAATGTGTAGTACAGTGGTACCTCAGGTTACAGACGCGTCAGGTCACAGACGCTTCAGGTTACAGACTCCACTAACCCAAAAATAGTACCTCAGGTTGAGAGCTTTGCTTCAAGATGAGAACAGAAATCATGTGGTGGCGAGAGACCCCATTAGCTAAAGTGGTACCTCAGGTTAAGAACAGTTTCAGGTTAAGAACGGACCTCCAGAATGAATTAAGTTCTTAATCCGAGGTACCACTGTAGAACAATCATGTTATTGATGGAAATGGAAATGCACTGTGGACAGATCCCCACAAGGGCTTTAGCTGTAGCAATATCCTGTAGATGACAAGAGAGGGCCACTATCTAACAACGAGGGAAGAATATTTAAGAGAACAAAGTGGCATTACACAGCAGGACAAGAAACATGGAAAGATGAATTCAGGATAAAAATTAACTGTGTTGTAGTATTTGTCCTGTGTAAGCATTGAGAGTCATTGTGATCTAGTGGCTAGATGGGTTAGTGGATAGATGGGCAGGAGTGGGTTTGGTCAGTTCAAACACAACACACAAATGCACACGGCCCCCCTCCTCAACTTATCCCTACTGATCATCTGAGAAGGGAGTTGCCACTCCCTGCCCACTAATGCAATGTTCAAGGGGATGAGGAGGGGCAATTTGCACCCCTGTCAGGATCCTGCACAGGTGTTTTGTCCTGGGAGGCAAATACACACCAGGGGGAAAGGATTAACTGATGCCCCGAAGAATCCCATTGCAGGGATTCCAAAGAAAGATGCACAAAATGCCGGAACGATCAGTTCTGGTGCTTGATTACAGAGATCTATCAAGATACTTCCATACAGCAATGTCATGTGGGATTCCTTGCTGCCACACCTCAGGATGGATGCTGAAGTGACAAACACCATGGTTTTTCCCATTAGGGGCTAATATGTTAGCCATTACTTATACAAACAGCAAGCTATGTAAGTTGGCAACAATGGTCCAATAACCCCTGGCTTGGAGGCTCCTTCCAGGGAGCTCTTTGGGATTGTGTTTGTGTGAGAGTGACCTGCAGACCCCTGGATCAGCAGAAGAAGCAGATACCTGGTCTGACTGGACTTTGGACCTGTTAGCCTATGAGCTAGCATTTGCGTGGAATCGTGTACACCAGTGGGACGTGCAGCCAGATGTGGTTCAGGACAGGTGATGACCTTAGACTTCTTGTAGATATTAATATTGTGCCTCTTGAAGTGACTGGATGCACTTCAGTTATTTTGATGAAACAAAAGTTGTTTTTTAATATAAAAAAACCAAGCATCACTTGAACTTTAAATGAAAAATTAGCTGAAACGCTGCATCCCCACCACCCCCTCATTTGAAGCTTGAAGTTAGATGCCCAAACTGGAGGCATGGGCATTAACTTTCCAAATTATATGCATGGAGTAAAGAAAAAGAAATGGAAAAAGCTAAATCTAAGGGTGAAATATATTTGCTTTAATGATTATTTTGTTTCTGTTTTTTAAAAACCTCTGAATAATAATAGGATAATAAATTTATGTAATTATCAATACTGTGTTTTTAATGAACAGCAAGCGGGAAGGAGAAGTTCAAAGTAAAGGGCAATGCTCGAGTGTTCATGGAGAGGGCAGGCATTATGGCATTTATCATGTTTCCTGTGTAAGGTTCAGGAGCTAATAACCACAAGCCGACATTTGCTTGATAGTGGGGACGTAAGACACAAAATAAAACATTCTGCTTCAATTAAACCATCATTGACTTCCTCCCCCCAAGTAAATATACAGCCTTGCTATGCAGTTTTCTTATGAACCTTCATTTGTTGTTCCAACAATTTGTAAAGTTTTAAGAGTTGTAAAGTTGTAAAATTGTAAAGACCTTGCAATTGAGCAATGGAACTTACTTCTGGGTAGTCAGGCATAGAATTGCAGCCTAAAAATCCCATTGTCACTTTGATTCCGAAACCATTTACCAATATTCAAAATTGTCCACTATGTATGGATGTATAATGAGTGTATGTTTAATGAAAATTAATAAAAAATTATTGTAAAAAAAAACAAGAACAAAATTGTCCACTATGTATTCCAATGACTTAGGGTGCCAGTACTGTGCAAGACATGGCTTGAAAAGGAGCTTGGTTTGGTAATGGATTACAGACCAAATTTAAAATAAAATGCCCACAACAGAAAAACCTAAACCTATGTGAAGCAGCAAAGAATGTCATCTTAATGTTCAATACCAGAACTATCATATCTAACAGCCTCATTCTAAAAATATTTACTTGGAAGTAAGTAGGGTGGCAGATGGTTCATTTCCTTCATCAGAGTGGGTGAGATGGGGATTGTTTTCATGGTACAGACAAAACTCTCTAATAGCATGCGTGTTTATTTTGAGATCAAGAACATAAGAAGAGCCCTGCTGGTGCAAGGCCTATGTGGGACAGCAGCATGCTCCACAGTGACCAGCCAGATGTCACTGAGAAGCCCACAAGCACTCTCCTACTGCTGTTCCACAGTAACTGGTATTCAGAGCATGCTGTCTCCGATTCTGGGGGGAGTAAACAGTAATCCTGTCGAGTGGCTGTCCTGCAGCAGCAAATTCCACAGTTGAACTATGCCTTGAGTGAAGATGTACTTTTTCTGGTCTGCCCTGATGCTACTACCATGGAGCTTCATTAGATGACCTCCAAGTTCAAATATTATGAGAGAGGCCATTACCATATATGATTATGGCTGTGAGACTTTTATATACACAACGATGGAAGGACCCATTATTACCAACCATGAAGAATGGCTGTTAAAACCAACACTTAGCCAAGATGGTGGAATTGGCATGTTTAATCAGAGAAAAGTGCTTGTTACCATTTATTAAAGATTGAAAACCTCTCATGTCGACTTTCTACGTGAAAAAGAAAATGAAACAATGATATCTGGATTTGAAGACTGAACATAATGTTTGTTTATAGAAAGTGGCTTTGTTGGATATTATACTGGAGTGGATGAAGTAAATATTGTTTACATATCGTGGACAGATGAAGAATCAAGTCCCTTACCTTCTGATTTTTATTCTCCCCCCCCCTTTAAACCTCTTTTCTACTTATTTTTCTCTTTCTCTTTCTTTATTCCTTTCTCTTCCCTTCTCTTTATGTTTTCGATGTATTTAGATCAAAGTTTTCATTTGGACAAAAAAGAGGAAAAGATATTGGATATTAAGTTGTGTATTTTTCTCTATAAACCCTAATAAAATCTATTCCACCCCAAACAAATATTATGAGAGAGGCTGAAAAACATCTACTTATCCAATTTTTCCACATCACATATTTTTTGTACGTGTCTACCATCCAGGTACCCCCCTACCCATCCTTTCCCCCTAAAGTGAAACCTATCCTTATAGTGAAGGGTCCTTCACATCAAGTAATCAAGGCAGGGGTGGGATCACCCCTTTATGATAGAGCTTTTGCAGAAAAACACAAATTCCAGCCCCGTCATCTCCAGTTAAAATGGCCTTCACCAACAGAGCTGACAGAGGCCTTTGCCTGAAGCCTTGGAGAACATCTGCTAGCTGAAGTGGGCAATACTTGACTAATGGACCACTTACCTGACTCAGGCAGCTTTGTATAAGTTTAATGTAGGCTTTGATTCTGTTCATCAAAAGCATGCATACTTTTAAAAAACATGCATAAGCATATCACCGTACGCCCTAAAAAGCAGAAAGTAGAACTTTCATGCTAATGGATGGACTCCGGGGCAGCAAAACAAAGCACTCTTACTAAGGGGATAATAAGCTTCACTGAGCACGGTGAGACTTGCTTCTGAGTAGACATGTATACAGATGCAGACTCAATCTCTGAAGGTCTTTTCTATTCAGCAGTGGGACTTGTTGCCTGTGTCCTATTGAAGTGGCCTACTGCAATGTGCTGGCTTAGTGCCTGGTACATTCATATTATGTCATGGTTAATCGCCGCTGTGCAACTGCCTCAGAAATGTTCTGGGGGGAAATTGCAGAAAATTATTGCCACATGAGAAGTGGCCTCGGGTTGCTATGGGAACTGTCCTTCTAGAATTAGTATCAGAATGAGGTTAACCGCCCACAGGGTTGCATCAATGAGTCTTGATAGTTAAGTTTTCAAATTAACAAAGGGTTGGAGAAAGTTTTTCCCCTACTGTTCGGCACGCAGCATCAGGGTCCTAAACAAATAAATTCATTGCTGTTTAATTTCTGTCCAATTATGGACCCGGTCACTTTTTTCATTCCATAAATCTCAGGTTCATTGCAAAAACACACTAAGAAAAATCCCCTCTTTGGACTTTTAATGACTATGAGAATGATTTGGTGCCATTTTTATGATTTTATTTTATTCCCTGCATGCATTATATTCCTTCCATGACTGCCATTTCAAAACATTCGCAGATTTGAAAAATACAAGATCATCAAGCTACTTTATTGAATGCACATTTCACATGACATCCTCATGGTCTTCTGCACATTCCTATGACTATCCTTTAAAAAAAATATTCCTACAGTAAATACTGGCAGCCATGAACAATATGTTCCTTCTTTTCTCTCTTCCTCTCTCTGTGTGGCTGCCTTTATAATCAAATCCAATGTGGTCCAGGTGTATGCATTTGGAGGATGAGGTTTTGAGACAACCTGCATCTGAAAATAACCCCAAACTTCTAAACAAATATTAAGACTTATGCAGCTGTTAATTGCCCCACTGTTGAAATATGAGACACCGACATTGTTAGATTTTTTAAATCCTTATCTTTCTGTGGGCAAACAAATTTATATTTGACCAAGATGGGGTATAGAACAAAGTACAACACCAACTAAGATTATTTATATGCATTTACTAAAACAGTTGTGGTAGGAAATCTGAAAGAACCAATGCCAGAAGGGAACTATAATCTCAACTTCAAAGTAAGCAGAAAGATGGGGCACAAGTCAAGCAATGTGGTCTCCTGAGCTTTATCTGACATACATAGGAAGAATCCTATAACACTCTTTCTCTCTTTTAAAAATGCCTCAATGAAAAGTGGCTTTGGAAGCAATCGTTTCCACTAAACGACCTTGTTAGAAAACCTTGCTTTGTGCCCCAAATCATTAATGAAACTTCAAGGTCCCTATATGTGCTTAAACATACAAGGTGACAACATTCAGCAGGGAACGGGTGTGTTAAATTCACCTACTTAGTCCTTCTTAGTCTTAATCCTATGCATTGCAAAAAGAGGTTGAAATATGAAAAAGAAAAAGGGGAAAGATTACAACAGTTCAAAAATAATTTTGTTAACCTAAAATATTTTATTAAAACTCTAAAGATTATACAGAAGTGAAGTTAAAATGATCTTGGCAGACTTTTTCTACCTTTCTCTCTTGTCTCTGAAAACTTGTTAATGTATCATGGGAAACATGTTGCAAAAATTCTCCCTGCCATATGGAAGGGCTCAGTAGAAGGTTGGATCCTCTCTTGATTGTATACACATTGTGACAAGTTATTATAGTCAGCAAGGTGGCCCGTTAATGTGGTCTCTATGAAAGACAGACAAACAGGTATGTAGACAGAGACTTCAGGTAGCAATATAGGGTCACCAACGTTATCATCACCATCCATCCCATTGTTATCCTGCCCTTCTTCTTAGGAGCTTGGGATAGCATGCATGGTTTCCTATTTTATCATCATAGCAACCTTGTGAGGCAGATTAAGAAAGAGGTTGTGGCTGGCTTAACATTGCCCAGGACAGTCTGTGTGGCAGACAGAGAATTTCAACCTGCATCTACCTGTCCTAACCCAATATTTTGATCATGAGGCCACATTGGCTCTCTACTAAGTCCATTCAGAAATCTTCATCTGAGGGCCAAAGTAGACACAATACCAAACATCTTATTAGCAGCCACATTCTCTCTCTGTTCACACTACCGCTCTCAATTTTTAAAATCCCACATAACTTCAATGGATCTTGTCAATTAAAAATTAAGAACAGGTTCATGGGATGATGTCCCCTGGGACCATGCTGAGGGAATGAAATAATTAAACCTCCCCTCTCTGCATGCTGTGGTCTGAGAAGGGCTGTGGCTCTGCATTTATTTGCATGCAGAAGTCTCAGGTCCAATCGCTGGCCTCTTCAGGTAGGGCTGGGTGAGATTCTCTGTCTGAAATCCAGGACAGCTGCTGCCAGCCAGGGTGAGAAAGCACTGAGCAAATGGGACTCCATTTAAGTGTCCTGACTTAAATGGAGTTCAGCCTACACTCAAGTAGGACCCTGGCAGAGACACATGCCTGACTGGCATGTTCCCTCCCTCCTGGTTGATCGTTTGGAAGCTTCAAAAGCTTTCTTCAGCCCAAACATCACAGCGACCGATGCCAACCAACACCTGCACACTTAGGGATCCACAGAGTTTGCGCAGTTTGCGTAACAGACCAAGCAACTCAGCATTTTGGCTAATCTACTTTATTTACATATAAACACACACGGAGCACTGCAACATGGCTCCCTCTCTCTCTAGCATCAGACAGCAAAGAGAAAAAGAACAAAGGACAATAGTCCCACTTCACAGAACACAGTAACACAAACATCCTGTCTTCGTCACTTCCCACTCTGTGGAGTCAAAATATTTACAGTCATGTGATAGTCAACAATCCCATGACTGCAATCATGGAGCAGGAATTCTAACACTGACTCCATTTAAGGCAGCTTCCTAATTTCCTAAATCACTCTCACATACCTGCTGTTATTACCATTATCATGATTCACTTCAAAGTAGTTGGAAGCATCAAATCTAGCATGGCCCTGAATGAAGATAAGAAATGTATTAGTATTTCCTGCAGTCTTATTTGTCTCACATTGCCACAAAATCGCACATGCTCCCTTTTGGATTACGTATGAAAATCACAGAAATGCATTTCCTGAAAACAGTGAACCTAGAGAGCAATGATCAGCAAAAGATTTTTGATTTATTATCATGTTATTGTGCAAGAAACATCAGCCTCCCATGTTGGCCAGCTAATCGCTGGATTAAAACAAGTTGAAAAGCATATTCCCCGTAGTCCTAATTAGCAGCTGTTTCTCCCATGAAAAGATCCCAGTTTACCAGCCAGAAGTTTAGCCTCCTATATTCAATTGTAACCGCTCTTAACAAACTGTGGCTCCAACTTTGATTATAAGAGATAATAATAGGCTTTGGGTATGGGCATAGATTTAGCTTTTAACATCACACATGCCTTTCCATGAAACAAAACTTGAAACTGCAGTCATTGGTTCAGAACTGCATTTACACAAAGTGGAAGTAATTTATCTGTGTGGTGCAGAAATAAGTTGAAGTGACCGCCTCAGGCAGCAAGATTCACAGGGGCAGCAGATTGAGCCTCCAAGGAATGTGATAGTAATGGCTGCGGTGCACTTCTTAGAGGCCAGATCTGCAACCTGATCAACAGCCCCTCAAATGCTGCCTCTATGGTGGCCTTTTTGTGAATAGAAGGTGCATGTGGTCTTCTCCCACCCTTGTTCTCAATGTAAATCTTCACTCAACCCTTTTTCCCTGGCCGGTGTGTGTGTGCCATTCTGTGGCTTGCCTCAGGTGCCAAAATGTCTTGGGCTGGCCCTGGTCCCAAGCTATGATTTCTGATGAAGTGCCTCTAACTCCAAGAGGATTTGGCCATCATCCTTAACATATATTTCCCCTCAACAGTTCTCCCTGAGATTTCACCGACACACACAGAGTTAATGCCTTGCTTTACTGCAAAGTTTTAGCAATTAAATACGGAGCAAAAGCAACAATAATAAGCAGATTGTGTAGGTGGGAGCTGAAAAGGATGAGGGCATGATTGAAGGCTTGGAAGGCCATTTACCTTATAACACTTTTAAAATTCAAAAGATTAGTGTTAATCACATGGATTCTGCTGGCACTTGGTAAGTCAATTAAAATCAGAAAGATGCTTTAAGATAGAGGGTGTCAAAGTTTCTTCCTAGGGAAAAGATATCATCCATGTGTCTGCTGTGAACAGCTTTAGAGACATTTTGAATAATGCTTTCCCCCCGGAATAATGAACTTTTTTATCCCACATTGCAACATGGCAGTGCCTTTTCAGGGATGAATAATTTATCGCACTTAGAATTGTGTTGTTGTGGCAATCATAAATTGTCTAGGAGTTTCTGTTGGGGGCTCTGTTATTCTTTTTACTGCCCCTACTGTTTAAAATAAACCTGTTGGCTTTTTAAAAAAAATTGGGGGGGTTTGTTTTGTTTTTAAATCATGGGGCATAGGATGTGCCTGGGAAGAGAGAAGCTGGTGAGAGCATGCAGAGCAATTGCAGTACAGTGGTACCTCGGGTTAAGTACTTAATTCGTTCCGGAGGTCCGTTCTTAACCTGAAACTGTTCTTAACCTGAAGCACCACTTTAGTTAATGGGGTCTCCTGCTGCCGCTGCGCCACCGGAGCACGATTTCTGTTCTCATCCTGAAGCAAAGTTCTTAACGTGAGGTACTATTTCTGGGTTAGCCGAGTCTGTAACCTGAAGCGTATGTAACCCGAGGTACCACTGTAGTTCCGGGTAGGGGAGGTATGGGGGGCAAAGGTTAAGGGGACACAGCACAGACTGTTAGTGACTCTCCCTTAACTTGCATATAATGAGAAGCACAAAAACTGAGAGTTTTTTTATGTGCGTTAAAAGCAGGATGTAATAGCAGCAGGTTGGAAAAGCAAAAGGAGAGAGGCATGCTGGATCTTTGCTTGCAACCAAGGTTGTAGCTATGTGAGAAAAAAAGACTTTTGGGGGGTGTTGATGCTGTGAACCTCTCCGTTGTATGTTGTATATATGTGTAAGTAAGCCATATATCATAAAGACACCACAGTCTCCACAAACCTTGGGTAAGTGCCTGGAACCCCTGGAATCTTGAACCGCTCAGAGACTGGGGTGGGGTGCAACAATATTTATGGGGCCAAACTCTAGGCCTATCAAGACATTAGCAAACTATATTCATGGTGGAAGCATAGGGCTGCCTGTGCCACCCCCTCTCTCTTTCCTTCTCTTATTGAGCAGGATGGTCTGAAGGAGAATTGTAAGCATGTTCAGCTGGACACTCTTATGATCATCTCTATGGGTGGGAGCCTTGATCGATCAAGGTTCCTGATTATGGGGAAGACTGTAATTGCATCCGGCTGAACATGCTTAAAATCCTGTCCTTAGACCTTCTGACTCAAGCGACAGTTTGGGGGTCAGTGCATATGCTGCCTTACTCCCTCAGCAGATACAGTTTAGGAATGACTGAGCAGGACTTGCATCTCTCCGAAAGTCCTCATCCAGTGGCCATGAGTACTTGTGTACCTCTGCAATACCACAGGAAAAGCTCAGGGCAACAATGAGCAATCACTACATTCTGGTACAAAATAGTAAGCAGGTTCACTCAAAAGGAGCAGTCTTGCAAATAATTCCCTGGTCTCTTCATTGCAGCACCAGCACCTTATGATAAACAGTATCAAAGGCCACATAGGGAAGAATCGATAAGGAACAATTAACAGAATTAACATAATCAATAAGGTACAATTAGCCTTATTGATCTCCAGGCAGAGATTGTTGACCAAGACCACGAGTGCAGTCTGAGGCCCATGTCAACAATAAAAGCCAGACGGGCAAAACTCCACAAAAAAAGAAAGGGGGGAAATAGTTTTCAGATGTACCTGAAGCTGCAGTGTAACTGCTCATCCAATAACCTTCCTGGCAACAAGAAAGTGATGGTGATGGGGAACCAGATGGAGAATCCATATGGAGGGTTCAATTTTTCAGCATGTCCTGAACAACTACCTAACTGAAGATATTGAGCACTTGAACTGTCTGAGAGACGCTCAAATTATCTAGTCAACAAATGATTCAGCCTCTTCGGACTGGCTTTCAGCAGTCCAGATAGATGTGTGTCTGCTTCCCACATGTCCCTAAACCGACTTCTCAACATGGGTGCCAGCTCCCAAAACCAATTCAAATAATCAGGAATCTTCTAGTAGCGTTTTATTTCACAGTTTTAAGGGTTAAAAATGTGCTTGGTAGAAGACTTTTTGAGAGTTGGAACTGTGTGTGTGTGTGCATGCATGCAACTTCTTAAATGTGGCAAGCAAATAAATAATATCATGTCAAAGTATGAGTAATAATCTTGCTTGCCAAACTCAACACGGTGAGTATAGGATTTCTTTATTTTGGCTTCGATTCAGAAGGCTACTTACATCCTAGAAGCGCCCTGCATACAGCAGACCTCAACAGAACAAAGGTATGTCCCCACTTCAACCCACTAAAATGTGGACACTGCGGGTGGTGGAAAACCTCCAGACCTCTCTGCCTGGCTCTCTGAACTCTCCTCAGGCCTACCTCCTCATTGGCTCTGCTCTCCACCTTTGCTGTTGTTGCTTGCCTGGGATATGTCATTGAATTGTGGGGTTGCCTCTTGGTCATCTGAATAAAGAAGGGGTGTGTTTGTGTGCAGAGACTAGCCTACTGTACAAAGGTAACATTTCCATGAACCCCATTTACCTCTGACCCTACCCACCACTTCCACGTGTCCCTCAAAAAACGGTTTCTCAGATGGGAATGTGGACCTTGGGCTGAGAAAGCTTTCCCGCTCTTGTAATCTTCACTCTCCCTTCAGTTGATTTAAGTCCTCCTTAAATCAGGGAAGCAGGAAATATGTTTTGTTAGTCACGGGGCCATTGGCAGAGCAACCAGCAAAAGTTAATGCAAAATGGGTTTCATCACTACATTGCCCTGCTTACACTTATGCATATCTACATAAGCAGAATGCTGGTTTGGGTAATGTACACTGACTAAACCATATATACTGGTATCATTTTTATGGACTTGGAGCTTTCGGGGATTTCTTCACCACTGAGCTATTCTCCTTCCAACTATAGTGTTTAATATTTCAACAGCTTGGTCCTAAGGGAGCATCCCAGAAAGCAGAAACTGGGGGCGGGGGGACGGTTTCCATCCTTAAATGTTGCCTGGATAACATATTAGGTTTTGCCCCCTGGATTTCTCCCAAAGTAAATAAACTGGGAAGGGAGAGGGAACACTGCTAGGTTTGGGTAATGCCTGTCTGAGGAAAATGTACAGCTCTTGAGTACTATATCTGCTGCCTTCCCAGCTGAAAGAGATTTGTGGCTAGCTCATCCATAGGCATTGATGGGGCATTGGGGAAGATAGGGAGCAACAATGAGGAACACATTCCCCCTTGTCATAATATTACGGACTAAAACGTCTCAAGACAGAAAATCTATTTCACATTCTGCAGTATTTATTTTCTCTCAGATGTTTCTCAACTAGGTCAGGAATGTTCAAACTGGAACCAGAGTGAGGTGAATGATAAAATTGCTAAAGTGTTTTTAGGCTGCATTAATAGAACCATAGCATCCAAGTCATGGGAAGGAAGAGTTTTCCACTGTTTTCTGGCTCCAGTTAGAACCTAATTGGCATCCGGTTCTGGATACCGCATTTTTTTTTAAAGAGGCAGATAAATTAGAGCAGTTATAGACGAGGAGACTGCAGGGTTATAGAAAGGAAGTCCCCTGGAGAAAGGTTCAAAGGTTTAGCTTGCAAAAGATCAGGCTAGTGGCCCAACTAGTCCAGCATGTTGTTCTCACAGTGGCTAACCAGATGACCATGGGAAACCTGATTGCAACAGCACTCTCCATCTGCAACTCCCAGCAGCAAGAATACAAAGGTGTACTGCCTGTGACAGTGGAGGTCAAACATACCTGAAGGCCTGTCAGATAGAAAAGGACATAGACTCATTTCCTGATACCACTAGATTTAAAGGGATCAAGTTATAGGAGCACTAGCTCTGGATTTCACGAGTTGAGCAGGGGGTGGCCTAGATGCCAGACCCCCTCCAACATTATGATGGAAATACTTTCCTGAATTCTACACAGAAACACAGAGCAAAGTTGTTAACAAAAAATAAAGTCTGAGTATATATGTATATAAAAAGAACAACAAGGAATCATGGCAAATTCTTTGTGGAGGTTGTTGTTGTTGTTGTTGTTTTTAAATAGTGTTTCTTGGTGTGTCACATGCTCTGTCCTGCAACCCCTAAACTGGATTGCTGTCCTCGGTGCAACAAAGAATTCTGCTCCATCCCCAGTTCTGAAGTAAGATCCAACGGCCAGTCTGGTCACTTTTTTGGCACCAAATGGGGAACGCACCATCCTGTCTTTTGCCTCAGGCAGCAAAATTCCTTGGGCCGCTCTTGTGTTAGGTTGCCATTTGAGGAATAACTCTGAGTGTGCTAAGACGATGGCTAACGTGTAAAAGAAAAGAGAAAAAGAAGTGAATCTCGTTCAGGACACCAAGTTCTAGGTGTCCATTTTTTATTCTTTATTGATTGAAAATTTACATATCTATATCCAGGTGTCCATTATTGAATGATTGCCAACAGCAACCAACTACCCTCCCTCCTGCAAAACCAACAATAAGACTACTTGAAGCTTAGGTATATTCCTTTTGCTTTGCACTGATCTTTTCTCTCTTTCTAGGGAACAGAGATCCAGTAGTTGGAATCACATCCATAACGAACTGAGTGTCGAGAGAGCAGGTTGCATCATTACAGAGGACAGGAGCCCTTTCTTATCCCCCTAGAAATATGGAGCAATGGTTATACAGCCTTAGGAGTGATGAGCTCCAGAGCTTCACATGGAGCAGGGTGGATCTGCATGTGCCAGAGCATAATTGACACAATCTGGGCCTCGGCGAATCTACATGCATTGCCAGTTATACATTATTCAGGGTTTCCTCCAACACACTCCCTTCAAAAGAGCTCCTGGGTTTGCATTATAGGTTCTTTTCAATCAGTAGCACAAACTTGGGAGGCAGGAGGCTTAAGGTGTGCCCCGCAGTAAGCATTCTTTTCGTCAGATCTTCTGCCCATGGCATACCGGAATCAAACAGCAGCTTACAAGCAACACCAGAGCAGAAGCAGCTGTGTGTTTGGCTCATGCAGTAATACATTGACTTTTGATGCTCGTGTCCTTTCCCATATTGCATGGTATGTTTCTCCTTTTGCACAGACCAGTAGTTCAATATGTTACAACATGAACAGGGAAACCTGCTCCTTCCAGAAGGGTTTACATTTGTGCTGTGTGCATATTATTTCCTTGACACAGCAACCATTGCTTTTGCACCTAGGTTTGGTGGGCAGATAGCTGCAGTTGATTTCTGCTTCTTTCTTGCTACTCTTTAAAGCAAGGGTGGAAAAAGGCAAAAGGCAGGGTGGGGCGGGGTGGTTGGTGGACAACTTTTATCTTCATCTAGCGCTGAAGTGATGATGATGATGATGATGGTGATAATAATAATAATTTATTTCTACCCCACCCATCTGGCTGGGTTTCCTCAGCCACTCTGGGTGGTTTCCAACAAAAGATTAAAAATACATTAAAACATTAGTCATTAAAAACTTCCCTAAACAGGGCTGCCTTCAGATGTCTTCTAAATGCCATATACTGTAGTTGTTTATTTCTTTGACATCTGATGGGAAGGCATTCCACAGGGCGGGCACCATTACCGAGAAGGCCCTCTGCCTGGTTGACTTCAAAGCAACCCACTACCATCTATTGCAGCCTAACAAGATGTGCCCTCTTGAATTTGTCACACATGTACATGTGCATGCATATACACATGAACTTATAAATCTCTGTGTGAATGGCTACTCAGAGCTTAAATACACGAGCTTTCCCACACCCTTTCAAACACATGCATTTGGAGAGGATCCTTAACTTGGTGGGGGTGGGGAGAGAAGACCTGAAATACAGGACAAAACTGTATCCATACAGGATGTAGCATTTTATATTGAAATTCAGGACAATCCTGCATTATACATGACAGGTGGTGACCCTAATGGGCTAGGGGGCAGCACACATGCCAGTGGTGGGCAGAGAAGGATCAGAGCCAAAAGTGAACAGAGCAACAAATGTAAACTTTAAAGAGAATGGCACACACACACAAGGGAGGGCATCCCATAGACAGCATGGCGCTGCTGACAACCTCACTGGTTGTCACCTGCTTTACCTTTAACAGGGATGGAGTGGAGAGACGACCTTTCCAGATGATCTCAAAGTATGAATGCTCTGTCAGGTACTGCTTGATCTTGAAAGTATTGGGAAGAACTCAAAAGCTCTTTGCAGGCACTCAGAGCCTCCCGCAATTGGAATTGTATGAGGGGAGAGGTGAGGAAGCACTAGATGGGTCTGTGTCTCTGTTGCATCCCCATCTCTTGGCCTTGCTTCCCTCCATGCAACGGCCTGCAGCGAAGAGCCTGCCAAACTTATGAAGGCTCCTTGCAAGATTCACAACCCTGCACTCTCCCTCATTGCAAAATGGCCAGAACAAGTGAAGAAGGCTCCAGGTTCATTCTAAGCAAGGCATAAAGGTGAAAGGTTTGGAATTGGACTCCCCTGCTTGCTTGCTTGCTTGCTTGCTTGCTTCCCTCACCTAGAAATTGATGTGGTTGCTTTCAAAGTGGCTGAATGCCAAAGCTATACATAGTGCCAAAAAATCAGAATTAATGTGTGGACGTTGCAATCTTATTTTAAACATTTCCAGCATTGTACTTCTGTTTCTCAGAATTGTGAATAAACATAACTTTTTTTCTTTCTTTTTTTAATAAGGCGGGTGAGTGGGTGGGGAATAGAAAATGTGATCAGATTTATAAACACACTTTCCCAACCAGAAAATGCACTTCAGAGCTGAGATCCAAAGAATAATTGCCAGCTTGGAACTTCATGCCCAAGAAGGGTGCAGAGTCTTCTCTTCCCAAAGCAACCCAGTTGATAACTTAGGGAGCCTTCAGAGATTGACCTTTATGTCACTAAATAGCTCAGTTGGTTAGAGCGTGGTGCTGATAATGCCAAAGTTGCAGGTTTGATCCCCATGTGGGGCAGCTGTATATTTCTGCATTGCAGGGGGTTGGACTAGATGACCCCCAGGGTCCCTTCCAACTCTATGATTCTATTGTAGCACAATTAGCAAATATTAGAGACCCGGGTCACATCTACAGCATACCTTTAAAGCCCATTTAAAAGCACAGAAAACCCCCTCCCACACACAAAAAATTCCTGGAAACTCTAGTTTAGAATTCAACAAGCTACAATTCCCAGCACCTTTAGGAAACTACAGTTCCCAAGATTCTTTGGGGGAAAGACTTTGCTTCATTTGTATGGTATGGATGTGACCTCAGAAAGCAGAGATGCCGGTCTTTAGAGCGTACATCTAGAACAGCTCTTTGCATCCTGGCCCAGGTGTTTTGAAAACGGCAGCCACCTCCTTTGTAAGTCAAAGCTTCAAATCAAGACTACTGCCTCCATTCAATACCAGACTTAATTGGAAGCATGTGCTTACACGACATATGGGTTGGTGTTTTTTTGGGGTTTTTTGTCAATGGAACAGAAGGGTAGGTGTCAAGTTGAGTGCAGAGTTAGGAGAATTTGTACTGCTTGGCAAGCTCTGGTGTTTAAAAAACACATAACCCTGGTTCTATGTGTTGCGCTCAATATTTGCAACCTCCTTAGTAAAAGAAAAATCTCCTCTCTCTGCCTGTTTCTATCACGTTTGTGACAGATAAGAAGAGCAACAGCCAAAGTGTACTAATATTTCAGGAGTGGTATATATTCATTGAAGGGAAAAAAAGAAGCTGTTTTTTATTTGCGGTCCATATGGTTTTGATTTTTTCACTGTGTCTTGAACTGCCTTTCCTTGTGAATAATGTCTTTACATTCAAAAGCCCCATATTTCTTCCAGCTTGCAGGAACATTTGTCTGCTTATTTCTACTATATTCACTGCTGGAGATCGTACTCTGCACCAGGAACTGGGCCATGACATAGCGGCATGCTTGCTAGACGGAAGAGAAAAATCCCACATTTCCCCCCAAAACTTCCAAATCCAAACGTAAAACCCCAATGCAGTTTTATAGGAAGGGATCAATAGCTGAGCTCTAAATCTGCACATGGAGGTACTCTGCTTATGCAGAGTTGCTTTTAAACTGCATCCTTCTGCACCCATCTGCAAAATACTTTTAAGGTAAAGGTAAAGGGACCCCTGACCATTAGGTCCAGTCGTGACCGACTCTGGGGTTGCGGCGCTCATCTCGCTTCATTGGCCGAGGGAGCCAGCGTTTGTCCGCAGACAGCTTCCGGGTCATGTGGCCAGCATGACTAAGCCGCTTCTGGCGAACCAGAACAGCACACGGAAACGCCATTTACCTTCCCGCCAGAGCGGTACCTATTTATCTAATTGCACTTTGTGCTTTCGAACTGCTAGGTTGGCAGTAGCTGGGACCAAACAACGGGAGCTCACCCCATCGCGGGGATTCAAACCGCCAACCTTCTGATCGGCAAGTCCTAAGCTCTGTGGTTTAACCCACAGCGCCACCTGCATCCCTTCAAAATACTGTTACTATGCTCTTATTCAATCAGTGTTCCTATTCAGGGTCTCTGGAGGGACTCACAAAAAAAAAAAGACATGCAGAGCAAAAGTTGTGTAACACATCAAACAATAACCTGTCATAATCATATGCAAACATGCACAGTATGCATTGCACATGAATGCTATAATAGAACATTGGAATACTGTGCTTCTAACGTTCTTTCTTTTGACTGTTACCACAGAATCTCCTTACTTGGTTTTCTCTCAGTACCAAGAGTTTTCCTTTGAAGACTTGGTTTGATAGCCACCAATTGGGGAAACTGTATCTCTTAGGCAGCCTTCTTAAAATGGCTGCAAGTGCTAATAGTTCCCCTAAGAAATAGAACTCTCCAGGCCCTCTTCCTAGAGGTTTTCAGGAAAGAGGTAACCAGGGTCCCATCTTGTGTAACCACCAGCTCTTCACTGCACTGGGGACTGGGGAGGATGATATAGCTGTATACTCACTGCACATAATGGTGTCTGTTTCATGCTTCAACTCCCTGCTGTGTGCAGAATTATCAGAATTATCAAAGGAACATACCCAAGTGGGTTATACTTGAACTGGCAGTCCTTGTTGCTCCAGAAAAGCTATCTCCCAGAGCTTGAGAGTTGCCTCCCATGAAAGATTGCTGCTTAGAGTAAGGGTTGTGGCTCAATGGCAGGACCTCTGCTTTGAATTCAGAAGGAATTAGGTTCAACATCCACGTTGGACTGAGAAGGACTCGTGGCTGAAACACGAGAGATGCTGTCACTAAGTGTTGACAATACTGAGCTAGGTGGGCCCAAATGGTCTGACTTTGTATAAGATACCTCCCTCCCATGTTTGAAGGTGGTTTTCTATATGGACATACCTTGGATCCCAAACGCCTTGGTACTCAGACGTTTTGGCTCCCAAACGCCGCAAATCCAGAGGTGACTGTTCTGGTTTGCGAACGTTTTTTGGAACCTGAATGTCCAACAGGGCTTCCGCGGCTTCCAATTGGCTGCAGGATTTTCCTGCAGCCAATCAAAAGCCACACTTCAGTTTTGAATGTTTTGGAAATCGAACGGACTTCTCGAATGGATTCCGTTTGTCCATCAAGGTACAACTATACTATGTTTCTATGCTTAAAGTACATTTGGGCTCTTCTCCTACCATGTGTGACCAGAAGCACTTTGCAGATGTGTGTCAGAATGGTGGTGGGTCACTTGACAGCAGCATAATTCCACTTCTCCTGCATTCCCATTGAGGTCCTGAAGTTGCGAGCCGTGGCATTCACTTCAGTGCAACTGGGCATCCCAGAGTCCTCCATCTGGAGCAGATTGCTGAACTAACATGACAGACTGGCTCTGTGGGCGGAATCTCAGCCAACGTGTTTTTCTCCTGCTCTCACTCCCCTCCCCAGTCACTTCATGTGGGCAAAGTGTGTGTGTGTGTGTGTGTGTTTTTCAAGAAAGGGCATTTATAAGTGTTCTGTTTACAGTCCCTATGCGAAAGTTCTTCCTCTCTAAATATGTTTTCTGCACACAAACCCAAGGTACAACATTCCATTGTGAAACAGTTGCTCTCTAAAATGGATATCAGCCTGTTTCAAATCATCAGTCATTGTTTTGTCAAAACATTCTGGCATTGTGAGATTATGCCAAGTATGTGTAAAATTGGAGCACTGTGAAATTGAAAACCTATGTGCGAAAGAATGCCGCATTTGTTTATATAAATGTATATATTTTAAACCATAGAGGCTAGATAATTCTGAATGCTAGTTGTGGGATGCAAACAGTGAGCTCCTCTGCTTTAGGCCATAAAACTTGGTTCCCAGTGCAAAAGTTTTCATAGGCTGCTAGCTATGTGAGCCTGGGGGACAACACTGGGTAATTTTAAAATGGCTCCAGTATGGTTTACTTTGCAGTAAAAGCAAGGGGGCTTCTGGAGGTCTGCCTGATCAATATTGGCCAAAAGCAAACCAAGAAATAACGGGTCGAAAACAACAGGGAAACTGAAAATGGCACAAAAGTCAACTAAAAACCAGGTGAAATTTTATTTTAAAGAGGGCAGCAGCAACAATAAAACACTGCATTGCAATGCCTGAGCAAATAACACCATTTTTAACTGGCACTGAATAGTTAAGAGCCGTGTGCACATAAGGTAAGGGCATAGGGACAAGACTCCACAGTCTTGAGTGTTCAATTCCCTGATCACCAACTTCATGACGTCATCGGATAGTGAAACTTATAGAAAGACCTCACTCAAAGGCCTCAAGTCACAGACAGGATTACGTGGGAGAAAATGGTCCTTCAGTTTCAGATGCCCCTACCACATTTTAATCCTTACAGACCACCTTTTGATTTATTTCTTTTTATTATGCACACTTCAAAGCATGACAATCACAGCTAGGGAGAAACTAACGTGTCTGGAGGCAAATTCTGGAGAAGTCCTTTCTCAAGGCCAAACCTGGGGTGATACTTGCCTGTAGGGACTCAGCTATACAGCTGTAAATAAAAGGTTTTAAGTGTGTTTTAAGTGCAATATACAATGTGACACTAGATGGCAATTATGGAAAATTCAATGCATTTTTAAAAACATTTTTATAAAAGCATTTTGAGAATGTCTTTTATATGTGTGTATATTCCACCTAGGTGTTTAGATATTTGTTATTGTACAGTATAATGTTTAATGAATTATAAAATTTGCCTTGGCCCCTTCAAGTTGACAGGGCTTTTAATGAATATTAAAAATTCATATATATACACACACATAAATATAAATATAAACTTTGCCTTGAGAACAGTTATTTTCAGCTTCTATCCAAATTTCTTTGCAGACTCATCACAGCATGCAGTTGCCAACCTTGGCGTCTCAAATTTCATTGGTGCCATGTGCAACACCAAAATCTGTTGTGTTCCCCCTCTTGCCTTCATAGTTATGGCACCTGCTGCAGCACCCCATAAGTTCTAGAGGAGCTGGGAGCTGAGGGCACTGATATGCAGTGGTTCTGCTCCTTCCTTCTGGTCCGTGTCCAGAAAGTAGTGTTGGGGGATGAGTGCTTGGACCCCTGGGCTCCCACTTGTGGGGTGCTTCAGGGCTCCGTCCTTAAAAAGCACCTTAAAAAGATGCTTTTTAACATCTTCATGAAGCCACTGGGAGAGATCATCTGGAGGTTTGGGCTGGGTGTCCACCAGTATGCAGATGATACCCAGCTCTACCTCTCCTTCAAATCAGGACCAGTGAGGGCAGTGAAGGTCCTATGGGGCTACCTTTGAAGGTGACTCAGAAACTACAAGAGCCAGTGTGGTGTAGTGGTTAAGAGTGGTAGTCTCGTAATCTGGGGATCCGGGTTCGCGTCTCCGCTCCTCCACATGCAGCTGCTGGGTGACCTTGGGCCAGTCACACTTCTTTGAAGTCTCTCAGCCCCACTCACCTCACAGAGGGTTTGTTGTGGGGGAGGAAGGGAAAGGAGAATGTTAGCCGCTTTGAGACTCCTTCGGGTAGTGATAAAGCGGGATATCAAATCCAAACTCCTTCTTCCTTCTACAACTAATCCAGAATGGGGCAGCTAGAATGGTGATTGGGAGTGGCCACCGGGACCAAAATACACTAGTCCTAAAGGATCTTCAATGGCTCCCAGTACATTTCGGAGCACAATTCAAAATGTTGGTGTTGACCTTTAAAGCCCTAAATGGCTTCGTCTCCACCCTCATCTCTCAACCCAGAGAATGAGGTCCTCCTCCGAGGGTCTTCTGGTGGATTCCTCATTGCAAGTTACAAGGAACCAGGCAGAGGGCCTTCTCAGTAGTGGCACCCTCCCTGAGGAACACCCTGCTTTCAGATGTCAAGGAAAGAACCAAGTATCTGACTTTTAGAAGACATCTGAAGGCAGCACTGTTGAGGGAAATTTTTAAGGATTGGTGTTATTATTATGTTTTTGGATATGTTGTAAGCTGTACAGAGTGGCTGGAGAAATCCAGCCAAATGGGCGGGGTATAAATAAAATCATCATCATCATCATCATCATCATCATTCTGTTTCTTTGTTTTAAGATCACAGCTTGCTGAAAGGCTACAGAATTGCTTTGAACATAAGGGATCGATTTTCTGATTGTTACATTGTTTCAGCTCTAGAACAACATGCTTCTCTATTATGTGAAATTGTGACACCAGTCATGTCAGTTTTGTTCTCATAACCTTGGAATTCAAATTGTGATGATTTAAGTGTATTAGCTCATTTCTGATCAACATTAAAATATTTTTCCAAGACTGTGTGGTGAATGACAATAGCTCATAAATACTTTTCTTCTTTTCTGAGTAGAATAACAATGTTTATTCTTTGAGTAAAGAATTATTTTATTTCTCAAACAAGCAATCAGGGAAATAAAAGTTTGCATAGTGAGGAGAACACAGACAATGAAGCACAAAGAGCAAACAATGTTTGGTGCCTTCTACAGGTTATGAATGACTCATAACAGCCTACCTTCCCTGCTGTTACTTTCTCTCCCTTTTCCGATATAACAAACGGAAACATTGGGAACACCCGTTTCAGACCACACCATAGCTTTTTAAGACTTTTCTGAGAATTTGTTACGATGATTCTAGCTGGGCAGTTCTGAAAAATCTGTGGATAATCAAATTATGAGAAGTCTCAAGGACAGCACCTATATATACATGAAATTATTGTGCATGGTAGTTATAGTAATGGTAACTTTACAAGTGTAGTGGCAGAGCTGGCCCCTACCATTTGACAGAGTGAGATATCCACCTAAGGTGGCAGATACTGAGGGGTGTGGAGCAGACAGAACTGTGTGTTCTGCAGGATCTGCCCTGGACCTCCTAAACAAGCCTGATGGCTTCAGGTGGAGCAGAATATACTTTCCTATGGCCAGTGTTGAAATGAGACTCAAATGCCAGAATGGTTGGCTTCTGTTTGTGACAGAGGATGGGGAGAGCCACCTTGTCCTTTGCCTCAGGCAGCAAAATGTCTTGGGCCAGCCCTGTATAGTAGACATTTGATGGACAGGGGGGTGGCACTATTTGCAGATTACCATAGTATTTTATTCTTTATTACCATCTCTTTCTGTTAACCGCTTGGAGTCTATTGTTGAAAGGAAAGCTACAAAGCTACGAATGATGATGAAAGAGAAAACGGTGCTTGAGTCGTGAGAGAAAAAGCGGGGGAAGGAAGGAATGAGATTCACAACACCCATCCCAAACTCTTTACAAAAGTTAACACTCCCAGCTTTAAAAAATGGCAGCTAATGTTGCAATCTTAGGCATGACTACACAGAAGCAAGTCCCATTGAGTTTGATGGAACTTACTTTCAGGATTGCAGGATTGCAGCCTAAGGGAGTACATCACGAAAGGTAAGGAGGCTGAACTCCCCGCCCCCCCGCAAGTCAAGTACTGTATAAATATTTATTTATTTATTACATTTCCACATCAGGGCGGTTACAACATAAAATCACAAAATAAAAACACAAAATACATAATAAAAACAAAAACAACCCAATACGCTCCCCCAATTTAAAAGGGCACTCAGCCAAAAGCCTGGTTAAAGAGGAACGTTTTTGCTTGGCACTTAAAGGTGTATAATGAAGGCACCAGGCAAACCTCCCTGGGGAGAGCATTCCACAGATGGGGAGCCACTGCAGAAAAGGCCCATTCTCATGTTGCCACCCTTCAGACCTCTCATGGAAGAGGCACACAAAGAAGGACTTCAGAAGATGATCTCAGGGTCTGGGTAGGTTCATATGGAAAGAGGTAATCCTTGAAGTATTGAGGTCCTTGAGCCAATAAATACATTGGACTAGGTGTACTATAGACATATGCTGAATATTTTCTACAGGTGTGCACACAAAGTGCAGTCATTTCTTAGATACAGAAGCAGCTGGCAAAAGTAATACTGGTAACTGTACAAGATACATTCTTAGGAATCATACTTTTTGGTGGCCAAG